TACGGAGTATGTTAAATATTATACCGAAGTAGTACGTATGTAACAAATATTGGAACGGCGTGATTAAAAAACTGGGTAGGTGAAGAAGGAAACAGGATAGTGATGTATTATGAGGCTGGGGTTCGCCTGGCTTCCCCACCGACAGTAGCCATGGGTTTGTTTTTGGGAAGTTTTTTATGCAATTCACTTCACCCCCGTCCCCCACCCCCAACGCACATGTAGTGTTAGCATTTTGAAATGGGTTGGGTCAGTTTTTGCAAAACTAGAGACACTCCCTAGAGGCCTAGAGCCTTAGGGCCAGGGGATGCCGGCATGTGGAATAAGTTGGGGACACACCCACAAGACTACTCCCTCCTTTTGAAAACCCCATTTCAAGTCCATCTCTATTGTTCCAAAAAAGGTGGAATTTCCCACGTCAGGAGCTCCCGCATCCGACCCGACAGAATGGTGGAGGAGTAAGTCACGATGACTCAGTCGCTCACTCGCCCCGATAATGATAGACCTTATACCCGCGCGCACCAGAGATCCATCCCAGCACGCATGATCTGTAACTTCCACACGGCCGTTGCGGGTTTTGAACATTGGTCATTGTTCCAAATTTCTCACCACTCAACCAACTGAGCTATATGTGCGAGTATTTCAAACATGTTTCTTTACTTCATGTTGTATGGTTCACGATTGTGTTGAAGCAAGAGAATTTATGAGAGTCACAATTTTTTTATTTTTAATGAAAAGTAGTAAAGTTAATGGTGGGATAACAAAAATTGAAAGTTGACAAATTTATAATGAATGAATATTTGTACTTCTAGGTCCAATCAAAGGCGATCAACTTTTCCTATTCAAACGTTCTAAAATACTTAATACGGAGTAGTATTTTTACTTTGAGTATAAAGACTTAAAGATATTTATTTCATATTTTATTTAAATTTATATTCAATTTGAATTGTCACGGTACATAATCAAGTGAAAAGTTTCAAATTTATACGGAGTATAAAATTAACTTGAAAAATAGTGTCATTTAATCGTAAAAACATTAACTACATATAAATTGAAAAACTCATCATGGTGGATTTTCTTAGAAGCTCAACTTGCCGGGATGTCTATGACCATTATATGTTCCAAAAGACCAAAACACACTTGCTTGGATCATTTATCTGATCTCCATATAAATAATGAACTTCCTCCGATCCACTTGGAACCAAATTACATTGTTAATGAATTATGAACTTCCTTTTTGTTACAAAACTTGTGCAATTTCTTTGAATCGATTTCTCATACTATGCTTCTTCCTCTCTATATACTTCAACTACAAAAGACTATAGAATGGACAGCTTGGTCTACATTCTTATTTTCGCTGAGATCTTGATTTAGGATCTTATAGTGGCTCGTGCATGGCATGTAATCCACAGTAACAATACATTGACTGATGTTCTAAGAAATGTGATGGATGGTCTTGGACTTCTAGAGCTCAATCTCCTTTTAGTTGTTAGTGTTGGGTGTGTATTTCAAGCTCTGGCTTGTTAATATAATTGAGGAGATGTCCTCAATTATCAAAGGTAGGGAAAGTCTGAACAAATTAAAACACCAATAGACAGGCTGCAACGGATAGGTAAGGACAAAACCGAATTATTAGAAGGCAACGGTAACATAATAAGTGATTTACGAGATAAGGTTAAACATAGGTGCAAGTCTTAACATAGTAGACGGAAGGCTTTGGCGGGACCAATAGTTAGATGACTTTTCTCACCAATATTATGTACAAAAAGAGAAAGTGAAACTATTTGTGGGAAGATTGGGTATAATGGTACTTTTTTAGAAAATGAATTCATTTATTCGTAATAGTGTGTGAGTTTCATATTGTTATAACATGAATACAAGTGTTCATCATATTCCATCCTATATATCCTAGCACTTTTATATAAACATACAAAGTCATCATTTATCATTTGTGTATCAAGAAGCTTAAGAGTTTTTAAGAGTACTCAATCACTGAATCATGTATTCATGCCAAATATAAGCAGATTGCTACGTGTAACTCCATTGTTCTAAGGCTTTATGAGGTAGAACATATAAATTTATCTATGTGGCAAATATCCATAGATCTATGTCGAGCTCTAACTTCTTACAAAATTAGTGATTAATGGATATATATTACGGAGTATCATAGACCGGAGATGCCCGAGTTTATGTATAGTGTTGGACGTAGCACGTTAGTTTGTGTGTTTCGGCACATTGCATTTCATAAGCCCTGTGTGGGTTTTCTATATATTCTTGTAGCTTTGTATTGTAAAGCATGATTCATTCTATTCACAATACGCATTGCACAACATTTATCTCTATAGCTCATATCTATCTAATCTAGATTTAGGGTTCATATTAACCCTTTAGTGATACTCTATATGCAACCCCCAACGTTAAACACCCCACTAGAATGAAAGCAAGACAAAATAACGGACCCATTTTTATAAATTGACATGTAGAGGTTGGGGTGTAGCACCTTTAGGATATTCACATCCGAAGGAAATAAAAATCTCGATGTAGATCATAGACCCTTAGAAAATCTACACGGCTTTTTCTACACGGATCTTTTTTAAGGCTAGTTCTCCATCAATCCATCATATACTAGATTGATATAAAGATGTTTTTACTTGAGCTGTAATTTGCTGGTTTGGTCTGGTCTGAATTAGTCTAGTCTGGTCTGAATTAGTCTAGTCTGGTCTGATTAAATGTCTGATTTCTGTGTATTTTATAACTACGGAAGTCTGGTCTGATCTGGTATGTTTAAGTCTGATCTGGTCTGTTTAAGTCTGGTCTGGTCTGTTTAAGTCTGGTTTGGTCTGGTCTGGGATTGAAAATAGTCCCCCTATAATTAATCCCAAACATCAACTATATTACTCTCTCATATTTATTGATAGCTTTCTTCTTTAAGCCTTTGAGCTCCACATGGATCGCAATGAGAGACTTATTGGATTCCTCATTGTAGAAAACAGTGAAGAGAAGTGTCATTAACCAAGATTAATTAGCGGTTTATGCTCTTTTTGTACATAATATTGGTGAGAAAAGTCATCTAACGACTAAAAGGAGATTGATATTGATAGAATATTGAATCCAAACTTATAATATTTCAGAGAGATCGAGTCAAGGAGAAGAAAGTAAGCATGACTTCAGGTTTGGTGTGTATGATTATGAATAAAATATGGAAAACATGGACGCAGACGCTAATATGGGCCTGATAAGCCTAATTACATAAAAGACTAATAGATACAAACGAATATATAAAATGTATAATATAATAGTATAAAAGATACCTATTGAACATATGTGAACCGTTGCCCAAGCCCAATAATCCCAAGACCAGGAGTTTGAATCCTTATACTCTATCAAATATATCTAACAACATTTTGTCCGGTGTGAAAAGTTCTTACGTAGTATTAGATAAAAAGGTTGGCATATCTAATAAGGATATGATGTTTTCTTTTGGACTGAAACTTGCTAGTCTGGTCTGATCTGATCTGGTAAACGTCTGGTCTCTGTGTATTTTATAACTACGAAAGTCTGATCTAGTCTGGTCTGGTCTGGTCCGGTCTGAATTGGTCTGGTCTGGGACTGAAAACAGTCCAAAAGAAAACATTCTAAGAACATATCTAAACTTTTTCTTTATTTTCTCTATATTTGCTAAAAAAACAAGCAAGAAGTTTTTTCTAATAAGAAAATTTCTTATTAGACACGCCAAACAAGTTGGCATATCTAAACTAAACATTGATTCGTGAGGAAAGTTGGTAAAATCATCATAACTAAAGTGATTGGTGAGAAACACTGAAAATTATCAAAAATAAAGTAATAACTAAGACTAAAGGGTCAACTAAGTCCTTGAACTGACTTAAAGCGTTCAATTAGCCCCTTATATAGGAGGTTTTGCCCGGCCGTCGTCAATTGGGGCAGTTCCCGGTGGAAATTTTTTATGAATTTTTTTAGCATCTTCTTCATTAAGTCTAGTTTACTCATATGAAATTTCAGCTAAAAATTCAACCGCGAAGGCAGTCAAATGATTTTTGAAGATAACTGCGAAGTTAAACAACGCAGTACATTTCGGAAAATCATTTGACTGCCTTCCCGGTTGAATTTGTAGCTAAAATTTGCAAAGGGTAAACTAGATTTAATGAAGAAGATGCTCAAAAATTTCATCAAAAAATTCCACCGGGAACCCCCCAATTAGCGACGGCCGGGCAGAACCTCCTATATAAGGGGCTAATTGAACACTTTAAGTCAATTCAAGGGCCTATTTGACCCTTTAGCCAATAACTAATAAATAATTTACTTTTGTTTGCCAAAAAAAGTAATTTACTTTTGAAAGCATACTCCGAAATTTAGAATAAATAAAAAATTTACAATCAGTCAATTCAGTCTGCAATTTACTAATTTCAGACAAAATAACGGACCCAACTATAGCAATTCGGTCGATTAAATAAAGGAGTATTCATGCTCTAGTTAACTCAATTTAGAGCCTCTTTGGTAACTCTGAAATCGATTGAATTAACTGATTGTATTGAAATTTATGAAGTTGTGATTGAAGTGACTGGATTGGCTGATTCTGCTTATTTACGAAAAAATTAAAATTAAAATATATATTAATAAAAATATAAAATTATATGAAAATAGATAAAAATGACCCTCTATAGTAATTTCAATAGATACAGTCAGAAAAATAATTCTAACCTTACATTTTCTTATAATTACGAAATTCAGCGAGCGAAATCAAAGTACATGGTTGATTAAAAAATTGACTCATAAATCAGACAAGTCAAAAAGCATAATCCCCAAATAGACTGTTGATATAGTCAAAAAATAATTAATTGAGAAAGAGGTGAAGGGCATGGTGTTTGAACTTCGAAGGGCGAAAAATATCTTACTCCGTAAATAAAATCCCGCCAATGGAGCAGGGTAAAGTTTTTTTACTGTATAAATCAGATGCTAGGCTCCTTATCTGGACGAATTGAATTCGGAGTAAGAACATTATTGGGGTAGCTAGTCCTTGTTCTGATGTTGAAACCTCTCTCAGTCTCTCCGTGCTGTGTTCTTTTCATTTGGTGACTGTTGGAATAGTTAATCTACGGTACCACTACTGCATTGTTTGAAACGAGGGGTCAGGGGTGAAAGTCACAAGTCAAGGAAAGCTTTTTAGCCTCCTCCATGAACCACAACACTTGAATTGACTGCTTTTTCTCTCAAGAACAAGACCCCCACCCCCACCCCGTCCTCCCTGTTCTGCTTCTTCTTCTTGAAGATGCCAAGACCCGGCCCGAGACCCTATGAGTGTGTGAGAAGAGCTTGGCACAGTGATAGGCACAACCCCATGAGAGGCTCTCTAATCCAAGAAATTTTCAGGTACCCATTTTACCCCTTCTCCCCTCCCCTATCAAGACTCCACCTTTAATGGTTCTTGTTAAAAAATAATAGGATTGCCAATGAGAGTCATCGCCCTGAAACCAAGAAGAACAAGGAGTGGCAAGAGAAGCTCCCTATTGTTGTCTTGAAAGCTGAGGAGATTATGTACTTCAAAGCCAATTCTGAGGTTTTTGTTTCTGTTTTCCTCCTAATGTTGTTGAATTTGTTACTTTTACTGTTTTACCTAGGTTAATTTATTTTGGTCAGGCTGAGTATGTAGATCTCAAAACTCTTTGGGAGCGTGTTAATGATGCCATTGACACTATAATAAGAAGAGATGAGAGCACTGAGACTGGGGAGCTTTTACAGCCTTGTATTGAAGGTATATTATTTACCCATTTGTTTTCTTGATCATCACCCTTGGAAAAATTGATTCTTGATTCATAATTCCTACTTTACCATTTTGGAATGTGTTCTTTCTGCCATGACAAAAATCCAGTATAGGCCCTAAGCTCATCTTTGGCTCCTAGGGTTTTCACCTTCTGTTGTCTGTTGGTAATCTGAGTTCATACCCATCATTCTAAGGCTTGAATTTCTTGAATTTGAACGCTGCGGAGATTTTGTTGTAAATTTTCCCTTTTCTATAGGACTTATGGATTTGTTTCTGATTGATATTATGAGGTTATTATGAGTATTGATATCTCATTTGGCAAGTTTATTTTGCTGAAATGGTGCTTAGTATTCTAAAAGGAAAACCATTTTGAAACATCCATTTAAGGTAAGTAAGTGCTCGTTTGGTATCTCTAAAATTAGCTGAATTGACTGAATCTATTACATTTGTTAAAATTTATTTAATGTGCCTGAATTGGCTGAATTTGATGAATTATGGAAAAAGTTATATTTAAAAAGTATTTTATTACTAGAACAAACTATAAAGATTATATGAAAAAATGGTATGTTCTGCAAATTGTTACGTAGAAAATACCCCGAGTGTTCCTTCGTGAGACAATGGAAAAAGTTAGCTTTTGATTAAAAAAATGAGTGATAAGTAAAAATGGGCTATTCCAATGCTAAACAAGTCAAAAGTTACTTATTCTGCCTATTTATGTTTTTTGCAGAATGAGCTACTTTTAGGCCTTTGGCTGCCAAAAGGAGCTTGAATTTGGTTTCCTTATAACTTTTTCCACTTGATTTTTTTTCTTCTATTTCTTTTTGTGAGTAGCTGCTTTGCATTTGGGCTGCAAACCAAGAAGAGCAACAAGGAGCCAACGAAACAATTCGGGCATGTGTTACCTCAGTTCTCGGGACTCGGATGCTCCCTCCAGTTCTCCAATTACCTTACGTGACCAAATTCATGGAAACTCCAATCCATGTCGTCCATTTGTGCCCCCAAACTTTAGTTTTATCTCCCCAAACACTTCATCTTTCCATGCCTTTGAAACTGACAGTAGCATGAGATTTCCTTTCTTACCTGAAAATTATGTTAACCGAAGATTGCCATCATCCCCAGATTCCCATTCTGTTTATCCCTTGTATTTCGGCTCTGAGTTTCAATCCAATTGCCCCAAATATGATAGAGAATGCGTTTGGAATAACATTTCCGCGCAGAACATGGATGCTTGTAACTCTCCAAGTAATAATAATTCCATTGCATGTTGTTCAAATGTTCCCTTCAACCAACCTGGACCTGAATGTGACTTATCCTTGCGGTTAGGCCCTGCGGCCCCACCTCCACGTTCGGATCGTCTGGCAAGCTCTCAATCTCGAGATAAAGGTGTAGAAGAGGTTTTGAAATGGCAGAAGGTTGGAATTAGCCATTTATATGAGGAGAGACCATTTTATCCCCCCATGAACCTACAACTTAACTCCTTTGTTGGGAATATGAGTAATGCAGGGCCTTAAGTTTACTTCTTAGCCTTTCAGGCTTTGTGGCCTTGTCATTTTGGTTTTTACTTAATGAGTTGTAACCTTACATGTTGCAAAGCAAGAATTGAATGTGTATATATATGGGATGAATTATGATCTCATTAATCTATGAAGTTTAGGTTTTGTTGATGATGCTGGTTTTTACTTTAAACGTGTACTTCCCCTCCTGAAAATATTGTTTAACCAATGTGTTGTGTCCATTTTCAGTTTTGTAAAGCTACAATGATCAAAAGTTACAAAATCATACCTAGTATTTCTTTTGTCCTTAAATATTTTTCACTTGATCTCTACAAATTTCAGGCAAATAATCAACTACACCATTTTCATTTCTTTACACTCTTAAGGTGAATACTTATTCAGGAAGAGGGGATATTTATACTTTCAAAATGGTATAATTAAATGCATCACAGATGATATGTTTGTACCAGATTGGTATACTCTTGTACAACTTTGTTGTCTATGAATCATTGTATTGGTTTTTGATCATTATTCACATGAATGAATGCGTTTGTGGGGCTCCATTATGAATGTGCACACAAGTCATGTCATGCCCAGAAGGGTAGAATCTTTTTGTAACACAAAATACACAGCATATCATAGAAAAGTTAACTTCACATGATGGCATTGGCATTCAGTGAAAGACTAGATTGAAAAACATGTGGCTAGTTATGTTATGCAACTACTAAAAGGGGTTTGGATTTGAGAAATTCAGGGAAGAAAACAAGTCTTCTATAAGAAATTACTTAAAATAGGAGTATAGCATAAACATTGTTTCAAAATAGGGTTTAATATGTTTTCTTTTCTATATATTTAATCTTATTAAAAGAGAAAGAAGATAAATTTCCCTAAATAAGAGTGTATGAGTCTCTTTTTGAAAAATGCAGTGATATTCTTAGTTGAGAAAATTGCTATGTGCTAGGAAAATTTCTCTTTTCTTCAATATCACTAAATTAAATATTAGTTTAAAATAATACTCTTCTAGAAATTTAGAGTAGTTATAATTATGAATTCTCATAAGTACTGAAATGGAAGTGATTGAGTAAAATTTTGTAAGATGTTGCATTTTCTTTAAATTCATGATTTGAATAGATCCCATACATTTTGCTCGAGTGGCCAAAACACAGTGCATTCAAAGAAATAATAATAATAATAAACCGACACGGGTAGCTCAGTTGGTTGAATGGTGGAAAAGTTACAACATTGATCAAGTATCGAAATCCGCAACGACCGTGTGAAGGTTACAACTCATGTGTGCTAGGTCAGACATTTAGTGCGCACGAATACAAAGTCTACCAAATGTCTTGTCGAATCGAGACATGGGAGGCTTTGGGATTGATAAACATTCAAAAGAAATAAAGATAATGACCATGTTCTACTTAACATGAGTGAATCTTGTCTTTGTCTCTTCTTCTTATTAATGAATCATAACTATGTAAATGACCCGAACATTACATTTTAGGTCAGCTCAGCAGCAAAGTTTTAACCACGTCTTTCAAGCTATTGATTATATAGATTGAGACGTTCACTGATCAGCCATGTGACAGGCCTAGCAATCTCATTGTTGCTACTCGGGTAAAAAAACTCTACTTTTGTGAAATATTAAGATACATCATTGAAAACATCTAATGTCATTGATGAGTTATGCATGTGAGCAAATTACATAAACACGAGTGTATTATACAAAACTAGCGGATTGACATGACTCATTGATATAAATATTTTACATGTTTCTCAACTCGATTTTCTTTACATGAACACGTTTTTCGTATTATAATTTGATATGCAAAAAGTATACACTATTGAGTGTATTATACAAATATAAGTTTTAACTATTTTTCTTGTAAAAGAGACATAATAGAGTAGAAGCAATACGAGAAAATTTATAGAACCCTATATGGCTTCACTATAGAGTCATATACCACATTAGACATTTCCACAATCATTCATTTATGAAGTAGAGCCCTTCACTATAAAGTCGCTATAGATAAAGGCTAAAGGGTCAAATAGGTACATGAACTAACTTAAAGTGTTCAATTAGCCCCTCATATAGGAGGTTCTGCCCGGCCGTCGCCAATTGGGGCGGTTCCCGGTGGAATTTTTTGATGAAATTTTTTGAGCATCTTCTTCATTAAGTCTAATTTATCCATATCAAATTTCAGCTAAAAATTAAATCGGGAAGGCAGTCAAATGATTTTCCAAAATGTACTGCGTTGTTTAACTACGCAGTTATCTTCAAAAAATCATTTAACTGCCTTCCCGGTTGAATTTTTAGCTGAAATTTGGTATGGATAAACTAGACTTAATGAAGAAGATGCTCAAAATATTTCATCAAAAAATTTCACCGGAAACCGCCCCAATTGGCGACGGCCGGACAGAACCTCCTATATAAGGGGCTAATTGAACACTTTAAGTTAGTTCATGTACCTATTTGACCCTTTAGCCAAATGAATATTTGCTATGATGTCACATGGATTACATGACTCAACGGTGGAGTTATATAGGGCTTATGAATTTTTATTGTATCGATTCATGTTAGCCGACACCAATATCGTTTGGGACTAAGACTTTGGTGTTGTTGTCTATTTTTGTTGTAGAGTAGGTGCAGGTGGCTGTAGCTCAAATGGTAGAAAGAGGGTGTCACAAGGGGTAAGTCTCGGTTTCAAATCTTGGCAACTACGATGAGATGTTATTATGTACAAAATTCATAGCGTCTCTTAAAATATTTGGATCATAATCTCACTCACTATCTGTCAGTGTGTTATTAAAAATCTAATTTACGCCCTCTCGGTTAACTGCATGACCGGTGTTGGGGAACTCAAGGGATGAGTATCATCTTTTGTTGTTGTTCTGGAGTACGAAAGAAAATCATGTCATTATTAAGGGACTAAAGGGTCAAATAGGTCCCTGAACTGACTTAAAGTGTTCAATTAGTCCCTCATATAGGAGGTTCTTCCCGGCCGTTGCCAATTGGGGCAGTCCCCGGTGAAATTTTTTGATGAAAATTTTTGAACATCTTCTTCATTAAGCCTAGTTTACTCATACCAAATTTCAGCTAAAAATTCAACCGGGAAGACAGTCAAATGATTTTTTGAAGATAACTGCGAAGTTAAACAGCGCAGTACATTTCGGAAAATAATTTGACTGTCTTCCCGATTGAATTTTTAGCTGAAATTTGGTATGGGTTAACTAGACTTAATGAAGAAGATGCTAAAAAATTTCATCAAAAAATTCCACCGGGAACCGCCCCAATTGGCGACGGCCGGGCAGAACCTCCTATATAAGAGCTAATTGAACACTTTAAGTCAGTTTAAGGGTCTATTTGACCTTTTTAGCCTTATTAAGGTATCTGCTAAAAAAGGTGATAAAACTTGAAGGACAAATAGTAGTAGTAATAATAAATGTGAAAGTGGAGTAAAACACTGTTAAGGAGATAAACACTCGGTGGGTAATATTGGAGTTAAGAATGTGGTTGAGGAGTCACAGGCACACGGTCTGGCCATTGGTAAAGAGAGGGAGCAGGGAAAAGTGTCTTTCACAACAACAAAAACAGGGTCAGTGGGGCCCACGAGGTACCAATTTTGGGCACAAAAGTCGAGTGCGGCCTGAAACGATGTGATGCATTTGGGCATGTACGTATCTAGGGGCAGTCACTACCCTCCCCTTCCTCATCTCATTGTGTGGTGATGTCAATCCCATTGCCCTTCTCTCTTCTCACTCGAATCTTTCTACTTTAGGAAGTTTTGTAGATCGTTTGCCCTTTTGGATTGATCTGCTTTCCTGGCCATGGACACTCACATTTCTTTCTTTCATGGTAATGCTAATTGTTTTCTGTTCTTTTTATTATCATCAACTAGCCTTCTCCATCACTACTAATTATCAGTACTAAATTACTAATTAATTTTCTAATATTATACAGAGTATATTAATTTTCTAACACTTTTTTTATCATGGTAACACTAATTATCACTACTAATTAATTTTCAAATATTATACAGAGTATATATGTTAAATTATACTACCTCCAACCACGTTCTCATCGCAAAACAACATGGTCATTAAAAAAATAATTATATAAGACAATTCAATTATATTTTGAGAAATAGTTTTAATACATACTCCCTCCGTCCTTTAAACTTTGTTGTTTTTCTTTTTTGGGATGTCTAAAAAACTATGTTACTTTCACTTTTAATCAACTAATTTGTGGTTCCTATTATTTCTCTCTCATCTGCACAAACTCAACTACACAGTTTCTACTTTATTATTCTCCCTGCCTGTCAAACATGACAAAGTTTTAAGGGACATAGTGAGTACTTCTTTCGTCCTTACAACTTTGCCAACTTTTCTTTTTTGATTGCCCCACTATTTCATTAACTTTGTCACTTCTTCTTTTAAGTAAATAATTTGTGGTTACAGATAATTATATCTCCTCTACACAAATCTTAATCATATACGGAGTAGTTTCTACTTTATTAATCTTCGTATCGGTCAAACTTTAAGTGATCGAGTGAATATATAATATAATGAGGTTAATGGTGATAATTGTGATGTTATAGATTTATTATTTTTAATATTTGATTAATAAATTGTTATTTAAGAGTGTTAATTGTTTTCTAAAATAGAATCTGAACATATGAGACGTCCAAAAAACAAATCTGTGACACCGCACCCGGATGTACTTGAAATTAAAATTCATTATGTATTTGAATTTTCTAGTCTAGTTAATACTTGTGTTTAAAGGATGATAGATTTACATAATGAATTATTAATTAAATTATTTATCGGGCCCATAATATTGAGAATGTGTTACAAAATATATAATTTGGTCATAATAATAATTAAAGAAGCCCAATAAAATGAAAACTAAAGTTAAGGAAAATGATTGGGATTTTTTCAGAAGTAGGCTGAAAAACAAAAATAATACTCGGTATCACTTTTATCTCTTTTGACTTTTGTTTTCAAAAATAGACAACACAAAGTTTTCTTTTCAAAATTAGCCTCGCGCTTTGCTGCTTGCCCCGTAGACCGTATCCATATATTTTAACTTACTAATCCAGTAATCCTACATACTACGGAGTATCACTTTGGCTGAACCACTAACCAAGGCAAAGTGTTCAAACCTAAACAATCTATATAATAATATAATAAAACAAACTCCTAAAGAACCATTTAGAGTAATTTTTGACATGTGGCAACATCCTTTGTATGAAAAAGTGACACGTGGCAAAACAATAAATTAAAGAAAAAACTATTCAACTTCCAAAACTCTACTCTTAAATATTCCAATATTATAGATATGTATTTATATTAATATATGTGTATATATTTGTTATAATTTTCAATATAAAATTAGGTAAAATTTTGAACTCGCCGGTATTACAAAATTCAAATACTCAAAAATAAAAAATAATTAATTAACAATTTTAGCCACTCTTAAAATAAAAATATTACTTCTATTTCTTTTCTCATAAACTCTTGCAGGTTCTCCCTTATTCGGAATTTTTATAAATTGGTTCTTATTTGTTTCCAAAATATGATAATTATTACATCCTCCGTCTCATTCATTTTCTCCAATATTTTCTTTTTCTTTCATTCACTAAGTTTGTGTAGCTCCAAATATTATAATGCATATATATAGTTCTAAATCATTCTTACATTATTGTTCCTACTTTTCATTTCAACACTAGCTAGATAAACTCTTTTTTAATAGTTGCACATGTCTCGATCTTAATGAGACAAATGTGATACTCCGTATTACTTATCTATTTATTAATTTACAAGGTCTACTAAATCAAAGTCTAAAGGTAGACTCATTTTTTGTCACATATTTATTTATACTTCACAATTTATGTTCATGTTGTTAAATGGGTTAGCACTCCCCAATTTCATCGCTTGGATTGTCTAACTGCCTAATGGTCTTAAACGACGCACATTATTTTTAATGGGGTGTACAATACACTTATAGTTAAAATAATGCAGACTTTAAACGGACAAGAAAGGTTGAATTTTTACAAAAATGTCACAACATTTTTTATTTATAATAGCACATATTTCTATTTCAAATAATGCACATTTTTTAAATCTAACATTCGAGCTCATTCAAATTACTTTTTTACACGTTAAGGTGTCTTCTCATTTGAACTCAACCTTATATATATAATTTACAATTTTCAAATCTAATGTTTCGCTACATATATAGAAATAATGCTGAAAACAAAAAAAATATAGAAATAATGCTAGAGTAATTTGTTTGAATAATTAGTATATATAGAAATAATAGCTCAACAAGGGTTGTAAATTAATAAGTATATTTGAAAATTATTTTGGTGCTAAAACATCAATATTGAAGATAATGAAAATAAAAAATAGATGTTTATATTTTGGTTTACTCGCAACCTGTATGGGTCAACCCACTTAACCTGCAACCCGTGCAAGTTGCACCACGAAATTGGTGACTTCATCGGATTGAAGAATGACAACTCTAACCCACCGTGGAATGAGATGAAATGGGCTAACCCTATGGGCTTCGACTCATTTTGACAGCTCTATCCATAGTCGATTAAATTTTTCTCTTAAATACTAATTGACTAATTCATATACAATTTATTTTCCCTACAATTTAATAAGAACTTTAAGCACATATTTTCCCGTGCAGTGCACGGGTATACATACTTGTTTGTAAAATATGGAATATTTGTGATCATTGGAAAAAATATAAATTCGTAAATTTTAAAATCTGAAAATAACTACTTCGTATAAATAAATATGTTTACAATAAAACAAAACATAAAAATATGTAACTTAAAAAAACTATGAAAGCTGTAGTCTATAGTACGTAGTAACTTTTTTTTATTTCTTACGATACTAAAACATCAAAACAAACTGATTTTATTTTATTTTATTGAAAATAAAAATTAGAAAAAATGTAAAAAATTACAAAAATGTTGAAACAATGAAAAGTCAGAAATAATAAAATAAAATAAACATTACGTATAAGGAAATTTAAAAACTGAAAAGGAAGAAAAAGAAAAAAAAATAAGCAAATAAAAAAAATGTACAAAAAAAAGAGTTATAAGAAAAATAAAGTATACAAAAAAATATCAAAATGTGTAAGAAAGAGTACGTATTATATAAACCAAAAAAAAGAAGAAGAATAAAACAAAACAAAAAAAACATAAAATAAAATAAAAAATAGAAAATAAAAAATGTAAAAAGTATTAAAAATTTCAGAAAAGGTAATAATTCCAAAAAATCAGAGAGAAAAGCACAAAATTCGAATACCAAAAAGAAAATTTTAAAATAGTAAAAAAAAAACGTAAAACATTTGAAAATATCACACAGTATGATTTTTATTACTTTTCTAACAAGCTACAAATTAATTCTTATTAGCATTCTATTGTTATTTTTTGTTGCGTTTTGTTGCTTTGTGTTTCTTCATGTTTATTTGTGTTGCAGATTTTTCATATTTGTTTTTTTATCGTTTCATCAAGTTTTATTGTTAATATTCATAGATCAAAATTCATCAATTTAAGTGATTATATATCAATACATGATTTTTTTAATTTCAAAGAAGTAGCAAAGATAAGTAGGAACCTAAATAAACAACTAAAATCAAATTCAAGTATAAACATTAACCATATGCAATACAATGCAACAACAGGAAACACAATGCAACAACAAAAAACAAAACGCAACAAAAAGAAACAAATATAATGCAACAAAAAGCAACACATATAATCTATCACAATAAATTTATAATTCAATTTAATTACATTTATCGAGTATGTTATTTGACTTTGCTTCCTTTGCTTCTTATCATATATTTTTTTATACATCTTAATTAATACATAGTTCCTCAGATTCGGCTTTCTTATCTTCTTTTTCTCATTGATCCTCCACCGTTATGTGCTTCTTTTCCTTTTATGCTTCTGCAATAAAAATTGAATTACTATAAATTATGACAATAAAATAACTACCGTACTACCTGTCTATAACAATTCACTACGACACTTGGAAGCATACAATTATTATAATTATAAGAGACCTAACGGCTTGGGAGGTGAAGACAAAGATGAAGATATATTCGTCGGAGAAGAAATGGAGTTACAACCACTTAATGCTAACAGTTACCCTCACCTTCGCGAAGTTGCCATTGCAGCCAAGCACGGTCAACTAGACTCCCTTCGCCATGCTCTAGCCAACTTAAGTAACATTAATGAACCAGTAGAAGATGGAGACACAGCTCTTCATCTTTTCTGTTTGTATAGCCAACTTCCATGTGTTCAACTGTTGCTACAAAAGGAAGCATATTTGGATGTCAAGGATGCAGAGGGTGCCATTTCCTTTCATGATGCATGTGCAGGAGGATTCACTCAAATTGTACAGCTTCTTATCAATAGTACTAGTGATCCTGCAAATATGCTTTTCACTTTATGGGGCTGTTCATGATCTCCATCCCTAACTGGGATGTTTCTCACCGTCAAATATGTTTTTCTTGGTGGTTGGAGGCTGGTTCAAAGTCAGTTATTGATATTTATAAACATGTCCTCCCAGGCATTATAATGTGGCACATATGGAAAACTTACGCAACATACACTTGGGATAGAGCATCTGTGAGTTTTAACCAAGGGATTCTAATGAATTCCATTAAGAATTACACTTATCATTGGGCAACAGGAGTGAAAATTCCCAAGTTTGGGAATATTCCATATTTTCTTATTCAAGAAGGAATACTCCCAGAAGATAAAAAAAAAATCATAGACGTAATTTTCTCAAGGTGAACTGGAAGAAGCCAAAGGATACCTTCAAAGCTAACATTGATGCATCCTTTAAACCGAACTCCTCCACCGGTGGTGTTATTCTTAGAGATCTTGCTGGTCAGATGGTCTTTGCAGGTTCCTTCCCTCTCAAAGCTAAATCAATCCTTGAAGCTGAACTATCGGCTATATATGTGGCGGTTCATTGGCTACTTAACCCGGGTTTCTCACATGTTGAAGTTGAATCAGATTCTCTAGCAGCGATTTCACTCCTCCGAAATGGTCTCACCCCAGCTCCTTTTGAATTCCTCTCTCATCCCATCCGACGTCTCGCCATTGAGCATCACTTCTCCTTCACCCACTGTTATCGTCAAGCGAATGAAGTCGCCCATCTTCTGGCCCAAATACCTATTCGTTCCCAGTTCATCGCTTCTCAGACATCCCAGCTCCCGGTTCGCATCAGGAGTGCTTTGCATCTGGATCTTGTTGGTTGCTCATGGTGCTCACTTTTTATAAAAATGCTAATTCCTCTTTGAGTAGTAGTAGCCTTAACCACCCTCCACATTTATCCGGATGTGGAAAACCGACACCACAGATTTTTCCCGTGGTGCTCACCTTTTATGAAAATCTTAATTCTTCTTTGTTTCCTCAAAATCAATCAAAGTTCATATATACTTCTTTCAAAATACACTAGAATCTCCATTCATCAAACTCCAATAATGATATCAAAATACTTACTATTACAAAGTCTCCAAAAAAAATCTTACACAATAACTCATATCAAAATTCAATGATAACCAACCAATATATCAAGTATAAACCACTTCATAGAATAAAATTTCACAAAATGCACATAAAACATTCAAAATGATTATGAAGCAAAAAGGTGTAATTTTGGGTACAATGGAACTTACCTGAAATCCAAATACTCCTAGTCAATTCTTCTACTTTGCTCCTCAACCAAGTCACCTTCTATCGAAATTCAAAAATCAATATCCTATCAACTTAGTAAAATTTCTTCTTCCCTTTATTTATAATCTACCCTTCTTATGATTCGATTAATCTCAATAGTAGTCCAAATGATTCACTTAATCCATTTTATTATAGCCGGGTAAAATTATCCAACTATTATTTGAGTCAAGCGAATTCGTATTTCTTAATTAATTAAAGTGACAAATTAACTAAAAGTAAGTAGTAACAGTTTAAAAATAGTGAGTTCGTTATAACTCATTATGAGAAATCCAAATATTCCCATTAGTCCATTTTAGTTTAATCATTCTCATTATCCTTTTATTCCAATTAATTATTATTATTAATTATTATTAGATTATTACTAATTATTGTTATAATTAGCCCATAGATATTATACTATACTACGGCACTGCAGAGCAGATCTTACGGAGTTTTTGTTCATTGTCTACGTGAATGGGAACCGGCGTTCAGTTTGTCAGCTTCGCTACCTTCCTTCGAATGGTGCCTCCGGCTCCGGCAGCAGTCTGGTGGCGGTGCGCCGTTTCGGGCGGTGGAGGCAGTCTGCAGGTACCGATTCTAAAGCGGCACTCCAGTCTCATGGCGGCAGCTTGAACACCTCCGTCGACCCTTCTCTTGCGACTTAGAAAGTTTGATTAGGGTTTTAATACGTTGGCCCGCTTTTGTTTTTGGTGTGTAGCGATCATCGGTCCCTGGGATATATATACACGCGTGAAGAAAATTCTAGACTTCCCTTTTCATTGGCTTCGTCCACTGATTCCAGACTCTTCGTTTCGTACCTTGAAAATCTCCCCTCTTAAAAGTGTTTCCTTGTTTGTCTTTTCAGTATTCTTTTTAATTTATTATTGCACGTGTTTAATAGAAGTATTATTATTATTGCACGTACATAGTATATGTATTAACTATTACCCGTACTCCATATTATCGTTATTATTATTAATCGATTATTAGTGTTTAGTATGACGTATGTAATGGGTTAAACGTACTACGTACATATATATAGTATTTTTTTTTGTAACACATTAATCATATCTTGTTTATTTTCATTTCATTTAATTATTATTTTTATATTTAAATTTTTGAGGTGTCACACAATCATCACAGAATAAAGTACTGATCTATCAACTTCATCGAATAGACGGCACGGAGTTTACATGCCAAGAGAACGACTTCTTCTTACTCAAGATGGACAACATTTATCAAATGTCCATGGTCTACATAAATAAAACAATAAAAAACAATAAAGTCCTCAAAGAAGGATACGAAGCAATATAAGACGCTTTATGTTGAGGCAAGTCAGAGTTCATGCCACCCGTGATCTGCAAATGGCCCTCGAGAACAACATTAGAAAGGCAAATCTCACCAAGCCCTTGCTATACGGACCCGAGCTCGAAAAGTATCCACCGTTCTTAATTTTTGATGAACTGGTCACGATAGTTTATCTCAACCATGAAGGAGAGAAGCGCTTAATGAGAATTGATGAGATTGCCAAATATTGTAATGGTACATTGAAGATCATCAGGGACAAGATCAAGCAAAAGAAAGATGACATTGAACGAAGACTTGCTGACGCCTCTGAAGCTGAAATATAAGAGTTTGACAGACTGAAGGTGGTGCTAGATGCAATCAAAAAGCTACTCGAAAAAAGGAGAATGTTGCGCCAATATGAACATGCTCTAGCACTGCGCACCAACTACTACAAGAGGAAGAAGAATCAATAAGAGCTGACCACGGACATTTGATCACGAAGGAGGAGAATGTTAGAGATATTTTTATAGTTGTGATTAATGTACTTAATTGGACCTCTTTTTAGTATTTATTGTGTGTTCAATAGCCTTGTTAAATAGAATAGGCTCACATGCCTATGAGCACCGCAGTATCCTTGCAAAATCCCAAAACTTATATTTTTGTTACAATGGTTGCAAGTTGCCCACCATTCATGCTATTCGTTTCCTTCCCTTTTTTGAAATTATTTTTCATAAGGAGAGATTCGTTTTTCTTACTGGGTTGGGATGAACCAGGCTCATCCTCGTCGAGGGTTTCCTCATCGGGGGGTTTGCTCCTCGTCTTGTTCCTCCTCGGCGGTCGTCGGCTCCTCGTCGTCATAGTCATCGTTAATCTTGAGAATGTCTTGTTGTTGGTAAAAATGCCCATCCCGTTGGGCCAATAGTTGAGATAGTTGCTCGTCGGACATCGCATCTCTTCGGTTGTAAGTCGTCTCAAAACCATTTCGGCTTTGAGAAGAAGACCCGACATGTCCTTTACATTTGCCTCGCGAAGTAGTGATCGGCTAAAACTTGCAAGTGTACAAGTGTCAATGTAGTAATAAAAACCGGTAAAAATACCGAGACGAACACAAGGAAACATTGTTTATAGAGATCCCTTGTTTATATGATTCAGAATAGTTTTTGTAAAAGACTTAGTAAAAGAGTAGAGATTTTTGGTTTTCAAGTGATAATAAAAACAACCAAGGGCTCGGGATTACTCCTAAACGACTCCTAGCGATGAATATATGTTCTTTTACCAATTCTTTGAGTGGAATGTCGCTAAAGTATTCTAACTCATATTACGGCAGCGAGATTGTGATTAATTATACGTGTGAATCCCGTCACGGTTCACATTCATCCAAAATCAACCTCATTGAAGATTAGAACATTATAAAAACCACCATATTCATATGAGGTATATTTCTATCCACAATTAGAATATGTCTAACCCTTAAGTGCACACTTTATAACTCAACATTAATTGTTCAAATAAACCCAACGATATAATAATACGTTGTACACCGTAGTCATACACATTAAAAATATAAAGGAAAGATCATAATAATTTGGTTGAGAACATACATCAAACACTTAGAGTGCGTAAAGTTTCATCCCTAATCTTGGTTATGAAAAATTAGCTAGAACAATTCATAATGGAATTACAAGTATTGAAATGATAAAATACAATGAAATACATATGAAATTAAACCACAACTCCAAAGCTATGATGGACAATGGAATCCCCAAATGAAGAACTTCTCCCAAGACCAAGGGGTTGCTCTTGAGATGCTAAAGTGAAAGTATCTTGTGTAGGATATGGAATTAATTGTTGAGAGGTCTTCAAAACACTTAAATGTTGAGTCTTCAACGGCCATTTTTAGACAAAGAAGCAAGCCCCTTAATGAACTTTGGTGTTTTCCTCGAATGATTATGATGATCGTTGTTGTTTTAATCTCGCACAGACAAAAGCCGGGCGCTATTTGCAAAAGCTGAGCGGCTTTTTCACATTTAAATTATTGTTCCTTCGCTCCAGGGGCCGAACGCCGGCCGGTTTCTGCCGAAAGCCGGGCGGCTTCTGTATTTGTTTTTCTGGATCATTCTACGGCGCCAAAAGGCACCCGCCTTTCATGAAAACCGGGCACGAATCGGCCTTTGTTGCTCCGGTCACTTTTCTTCTTCGCTGGAAGGCAATTGGATGGTTGGCCGGTGAAAACCGGTCGGCCTTGGTGAAAGCCGGGCGGCTTTAACCTCTTTTGTGTGTTTTTCTTCGCTTCTTTTGTTCTTCGAGATGCGTTTGGTTGACCTTTTTCTTGTCGGGTTTCTTCGTGTGTATTCTATCATCCTCGTATTTGATCCAATCGTCAAATAAAGTAATTCTAGCAAAACGAGACATATGTGTGAGGATTTTATTCTTTTAAGCATAAAAGCGTTTATAAATGATGGTATAAAACACGTTAATAAAACGCTTTATCAAGTAGGATGGTTTTTAACAATCTCCTTCTTTCGGTTGCATTGAAGGTTACCCATATCTACAGAATGTCTACCTCGATCCATCTTAAAATGTAGCAAATATTAAATTCTAACAAATATGTTAATGTGTGTATGTACAAATACAACGCAACTAATATAAAAATGTAACTAAAATTTCAATTTATGTAAGAAAATGTGAGTTTACTGTAACTAAAATGTAAGTAATTTGTAACAAATACTTATTTGTGACAAACTAAAATGTGACTTTAAAATAAAAATGCGACTTTTATATTAAAACTTAAGTAATATGATAATTTAACAAAGTAAAATGTGACTTTTATATCAAAATGCATGTGACTAGTGTACAAGTCTATAAAATATTGAATTGTGAGTACAAATAAATCCAACTTCTTTAATATTTTAAGCTAACAAGTATAGTAAGATTAATGACTAAAATGCAACAACTTTAATATATTAAGCTAACAATTTTTATATGATTAATATTAATATGTAATAAATATGGTTAATTAATATTGTAATGTAACAAGTATAGTAAAATTAACTAAAATGCAACTACTTTAATATTGTAAGCTAACAATTTTATATGATTAATATTAATATGTACGGAGTAAGAAATATGGTTAATTAATATGATAATGTGATAAGTATAGTAAAATTAACTAAAAATGCAACTACTTTAATAGTTTAATATAACAACTTTAATATGATTAATATTAATATCTAACAAATTAGAATGTAACAAATGTTAAAGGTGAAAAAAATGAGAATGTAACTACTATTAATAGGATAAATTTAATTAATATTAATGAGAAATGTAACTAATAGGATAAATGTATGATTGTTTAATAATTAATGGGAGTGTAAGTGTGTCAGTAACACGATAAATTTAACTAATATTAATGAAAGTGTAACTAATAGGATAAATATATTAATGTATATTAATTAATGGAAGTGTAACTAATAGGATAAATTCAACTAATATTAATGAATATTAGTTAAACTATAAATTATAAATTATAAATTACAAATGTATAAACTATAATAAATATATAAACTATAAATTATACTTTAACTAACTAATATGTAATATATATTTTTTTTAAACCCGGAAGGTCAACCACCAAAATCAGTGGGACAAATGCCGGGTAACATTTACCGAATTTATTAAAAAGCAGATAATAGGTACAAATGGAAGGGAGGACTAGGCCAATACCCTTCCTAAGGAGGCATACCTCCTGCAAATACATGAGCAAAATAAATGGAAATTGGGGGGGACTAGACCTTACCCAATTAAAAATACATGAGCAAAATAAATGAAAATTGGGGGGACTAGACCTTACCCAATTAAAAATACATGAGCAAAATAAATGAAAATTGGGGGGACTAGACCTTACCCAATTAAAAATACATGAGAGGAAAAAGAAGAAAAATAAATTGCAAAAAAAACCCAAATTAGGAAACTCTAAAATGTGGACATCCATCCTTATCTAAATAGATAGATCCGCGAACCCGATTAGGCAACTGAGTAGGCTCATAGAATCTATGTTACACCGATACTTCACCCCGGTGCCATATCCGCGTATCCGATAGGCGTCCTGTACGTATTGGGTCCGTATCCGTAATTTAATAAAAGTATCGGGATTAATTTTAAAAATACCGATACTTCCGATACCCGTATCCGTGAACCGATACGCGTATTTGATCCTGTAACCCTCATTTCATACATGGCATGAAGAAAATTTAGTAGCCGTCCAAGCGACCACAAGATGTGGAATATTGATTAAGATGATTTCGGGAGAATGGAAAATAATGGAATACTATAATTTTTCATTTTATCGTTTTATGAGCTTTAATTGAAACAATATTTAGATGTAAATGTAAATAGAGAACAAAAATTTTTGTTTGAATTTAAATCAAAATAATAGTACTTTAGTTTCTTTAGCCTAATCTTTGAAATTTTATTATAATAGTTAATTTTTTGTACTATTATTATTTTATTTATGAACTCCTGAATTATATATATTTGCAAATTACACCCTATATTTTTATTATTTATAAATATACCCCGTACTCGTATCCTATAATTTTTTAAATTGTCGTATCGTCGTACCCGTATTCGCGTATTGACATATCCGTATACGTGCAACATAGGATAAAATACTGATGGTCTGCTATTTCTAGTACTCAGTTGAGCAAGCTGATGCGCCACTTCATTGACTTGTCTGTAGCAGTGATTGAAAGTTAGCGAGCAACGAGTGGCCCTTTCCAAAAGCGGCCGGATGAGATGAACATAGGTCGCCCCATCAAAGTCTTTTCGAAGGAGGGAGATTGCAGCTTGGGAATCCGATTCAACTTCTACTTTAGTGTAACCAGCTTCAACAATCCAATGCACAACAACAAAGATGGTCATGATCTCAACTTCAACTAACTAATATGTACTCCCTCTGCCCCAGAAAATTCTTCCAAGTTTGACTTGGATCGGAGTTTAAGAAAGTGAGAATAAAGTGGAAATGTGTGGTTGTAGTTGTGTAAGAAAAAGGTAAAATGAATGTGAGCCACACAAATAATCAAAAAGGTGAAGTTGGAAGAATTTTTTGGGACGTCCCAAAAAGGAAAGTTGGAAGAATTTTCTGAGACGGGGGGAGTAATATATTGTTGATAGTATATAATATATAAGTATACTACTATAAGATGAGTAGTACACTTATATTTAATACTTTAATATATATGTGTGTGTGTGTGTGTGTGTGTGTGTGTGTGTAAATATAAGTAGATATTTAGTAGACAATAAATATATAAGTGGATAATAAGTAGATATTAAGTAGATAATACGTATAAAAGTAAATACTAGGATAATATACTACGTATGTATTTATAAGTAGATAATAAGTATATAAGTAGATATACTAATGGTATGACTAATTTAATAGATATAATGACTAATTTAATAGATATAATATACGGATTACAATATATTTATAGGTGTAGAGAGAATTGGAGAAAATGATTAGAGAGTATTAGAGTAGGGGTGGACTCGGGCCGGTTCGGGCCCGGCCGAGCCTCGGTTCTGTTTTGTTGGGCCTGAGCCCGAACCGGTAGCCACCGGTTCCGGGCCACCCGCTTTGTATTTTTTTTTTTTGGCTTCTCCTATTTAACCCCCAACCCACCCCCCTCACCCCCAAACCACCTCAAGTGGCCAAAAATACCCAGCCCAACCCAAAAACTTAAAAAAAATGAGATATTACCCGAAATAGGACTAAAAAGGGTTGCAAATTCCAAAATAAGACTTCAATGTTTTTATTTCCAAAATAGGACTAATTACTGTCATGTTTTGGCAGTACTAGACTTCAAACATGGCAGTATTTTCCAAATTTGGCAGTAATTAGTCCTATTTTGGGAACAAAAACATGACAGTCCTATTTTGTAATTTTCCAACTTTTTTAGTCCTATTTCGGGAACTTTCCCAAAAAAATTCAAAAAAAAAAATATTCGGCCCGGACCGGGCCCGAACCGGCCGGGCCGGTTCACCAAATGGAGGGCCCGAGCTCGGAACCGGTAGCCACCGGGTCGACCCGAACCGCCCCTGGGCCGGGCCACCGGTCCGGTCCGGTTCAAACAGTGACCGGGCCGGGCCGGTTCCGAGTAGGGTTGGACTCATGTCGGGCAGCATGAACCGGAACCGGCCCGGTCACTGTTTGAACCGGCCCGGCCCGGCCCGGCGGCCCGGCCCATGGGCCGTTCGGGTCAACACGACCCGGTGGCTACCGGTTCCGGGCTCGAGCCTTCATTTTGGTGAACCGGCCCGGCCGGTTCGGGCTGGATTTATTTATTTTTTTTTTTTTTTGAATTTTATTTAAGTTTTTGGGTTGGATTGGGTATTTTGGGCCATTTGAGGTGATTTGGGGTGGTTTGGGGTTGAGGGGGAGGGTAGGGGGTTGATTAGGAAAACCCAAAAAAAAAAATCATATATAACCGAACCGGGCCTGGCCCAGCCTGGCCCAAACCGGAACCAGGGTTACCCGGGCCGGTTCCGGGCCTCCCCTACCTTGAACCGAGGCCCGGCCGGTTCAAGGCCCGAACCGGTCCACCCCTAGTTCCGGGTCGGGCCGCCCGGCCCGAGTCCACCCCTATATTAGAGAGTAGGAAAAATTGGAGAATATGTGTATTTATAATTTTTTTTAACCCCACCCTCCCCACCCCACAGCCCCCCAACCCGCCCACACCACCCCATTTACCCCAACAGCTATAGAGCCATTGGCAATTGCTAGCAGCCTGCCCCAACAAGTGAAACAATTTTTTTCTAATAAACAATTAAGCCCCGGCCGGTCCACGTTACGGGTCGGGCTGAAAGTCTGAAACCCAACAATATAAGTTTTCTTCTAATAAACAATCAACGTAACAACTGAACTTTAGCCATCCGAAGTAAAGTCTGAAACCCAACAATACCAAAACAAAAAACGCAACACTTGGAAACAAACCAGGTGTACACATTGTGCTATACACTGCTGTCATGTATTCATATGTTGAAGAAGAAATGCAACCATTCATGAAGACCCCTAGGATCAGACGGTTTAACTAGTGGAGAACATTTAAAAGTACTCTTTTGGGAGAAGTGTTTGGACTGCATATCCTAGCTCCAATTCAAAAAGATACTCATTTGATTACTCCAGAAACATGAATTTTGACCCAACAAGCACAATATATACTTATATAAGTGAGTCCCATGCATCTTAGTGCTGGATAAACTTGTTTGACTTTGCATCTAAGACCTGTAGGGAATTATATGAAGCCTTGTTAAGTAGTTTTGTCCATCTACATAAAAGCAATCCATCAATATTGTTCAATGCAAATAAGTCATCATATTAGTATCCAAATAGACAAATCTACCATCTCCAACGAAGGAAGCTTTAATGCCCGAGAGTAATCAACCAACCAATCAATCATAAGGAATCTGAATATAAGCTGCATCACAAACAAACGGAACATCAGCATATGTTCCGAAAAGCGCACACTTGATGCACTCCAAAACTGTGAAGAGATAAGCAAACGCAACAGCAGCCCAGAAATGCATCCCAAACTTCCCCCAATAAACGGCTTGTGGCATCCAACGGCTCACAGTTCCTATAACCTGTAAGGCAATCTCCAAGAGCATGCCCATCACCATATGAAACCGGAAAAAGTGGGGCCACTCCTTTCTCCTAACAATCCCGAGGTAAGCAACAAAGAAGTAGGCCATGAGGAACCAGCCTGGCAACCTCCCTATGGCCCGCAGAAAGGGATATGTCAAGAATTCGAGTTTCTCCAAGAAGTGGTGAAGATGGTATGCGGTCTCGGCATACATCCACGTTTCGTGGAGGGGCATTAGATAGGGGAGGCACGCTAAGGATCTCCACCACCACATTGGCTTCTTTGTCATGGGTGGGTATCGGAAACTTTTGGGGACATCCTTAGCTGATGCTCTAGTGCAAAAGGAAAACCTACTTTGCTTTGGAGATTTTCGAAAATGATCTGAAAAGCCACGATATTCCCCACATAAATGACGCGATGATGCAGAAGAAAGACTCGGAAACCTTGTTCCTGAAAAATAATTGCCGGAGAATTGCACAAAAAAAGACAAAAAAAACAGTGCTCAATATAAGAGTAAGGGCCCATCTGATTGGCTAATTGTGAAATTCCTGAACAAATATACCAGAGTAAACAAGTAGAGTGGGAAAATATCATATTCTTAATACATACACACCTTGGGAGAAGCAAGATGTTAGATTGAGATGAACCCCCTGTGAGCTCCTAATGGCTGAGAAGGGTGCCTTAGAATACAATTGGGAATGCCTTGTAAATGATGAATTGTAGGACTTGAAGTTATTAGGCTCACAGGACATACCAACGCCACCAGAAGTTAGAGAGCATCCAACAGCATTCATATTGAAGCACTTGGATGAAGATATAGTATCTAGCTATGTTGGTTGCTCGCAATCATACTGTTAAAGACATAAAGGAAATTCAACAGCCACTCTGGTAAAACCAAATGAACATGGATAGTTTAATAGTTGTTTAAACGTAAGATATAATGAAATTTGCTTTATAGAGAATGTTAATAGACTGCCACAAACTAGTTAGTGATAAGTATTTTAATAATACGATTTTAAGAAACAAATTTACTCCCTCTGTCCTGCAACTAAGTTCTGGGTTTAAATTCATGGATTTTTAGAATAAATAACTTTTTAATTGACTTTTCCAGGTATACCCTTCCTCAGTGATAAATTAATTAAAGAGAAAATTTATTAATTATGTGCGTTTCATAGGGATAAAAGTGTATTTTACACTCAAATAATACCAAAAAGGCAAAAACAGAAGTGGGTACTTAAATTTTGGGATATCCCAGAAAGTAAAGTGATAACTTAATTGTGAGACGGACAGAGTATACCATATTCCTCCCATTTAGAAATTTTGCCTAATTTTTTGACAAAAAGAAATGTAAAGACATTAAATTCCAGTGTACCAATCAATGCAGCTTTTGCCATTGTACTATCACACACTTCATACCACTACTAAAATCCAAAGAAACTGGAGAAGGGTTCCAAGATTGGTGCATGTTGCTGAAGCTCTGGAAGCAGTACATAATTCTTAATCATTTAAGTGTGACAATTAGGATATCAGGCATAACAAAATAGAAAAAAGTTCAATCTTTATCCTATTTATCCATTGTGATTATGAAATCACTACTGTAGGAATTGATTTCTAATACTCCGTAGTTTATTGTTTTCAAAAAGAGTAAAGGCTAGTTTCCAATACAACAAGCAACAAAAGAACTTCAAGCTTTTCATCCAGAACGTCAGGATAATCCTCTACGCATAATGACCGAAAACATTCATTCAAATCATTTCAAAGAGTTCACCCTCTCGAAAGCACACATCTTTCCCTAAATTAAGCATGAAATCAACAAGGCAGATCTAGAACTAGCAGTAAACTAAAACGAGGTAAGAAATGCAAAATTTCTAGAAATGAGAAGCACGAACACGACAAACCTGATGAGAAATCGCGTGTGGGGCAATCCTAGGGTGTATGGTTCGCCAGTTACTGAGTCAATGGCATTGGAGACGGCCTGGATACGAAGGGGATACGCACGTGATCCGTTCGAGTCGAATTTCTTCAGGATTAGAGATCGGAAAGTTAAGGTAGCTTAGCAGATCAGACGGTTCGCAGCGGCTTCTTAGGGCTTTTGGGCGCTTTTGGTTTGTGAAAAATCAGGGGAGAGATGATAGGAAGGCACAAGCTCTGCCTAGGACCGCTTGTTTTTCCATATCCTTTTGAGTAGTGAGTACAGTTGCCTGAAATTATTTTGAGCAATTACAAAATAAATTTAGTATCACAGATGTTTGTTCTGTGTGTATCTTAGGACTATCAAAATTTAGTCTGATCTAATTTAGTCTAAATTAATCTGGTCTAGTTTTGTCTGATTAAATCTAGCTTGATCTGATCTAATTTAGTCTGGTTTAAATTGAAATTAGTCCCATTAAAAACATTTTTAGCCATAATTGGTGTTTGTAACTGAAATTTTACAAGTGGCAACCTTTAAGTGAAATATTCAAAAAAGGAAAGTGAGAATCTTAAATCCAATTAAGAATATTCTTAATCATAACATTCTAAGTTATTTTTATTATTTGTAAATTAAACTGTCAATTTAATAGTGTTAATTATTTCTTAACATACAAATAGGAACTTCTAATTCATGGATAGAGCCACTTATAGGCTATAGGGTTATGGTGTCAATTGACACCACTGCTGTTTTTATATATATATTTTTAATTTAAAATTGAAACCACTGGAAAAAAATCTGCATATAGATATATGCAATCTTTCAAAAAAATAAAATTGACACCACTATTTAAAAAATAGAAATTGCTCAATATAAGACTAAAACATACACAAAGTTTGAAACTATGTTTAAAAAACCGACCCGACCCGGCCGGATTGACCCGGACAAAAATCCGGTTCGGTTTCTTCAAAACCCGAAAATGGTCAAAAACCGGAAAAACCCGGCTGACCCAAAAAGATCCGATCCGGACCCGACCCAAGAAACCCGAAAAACCCGGGAAAACCCGGTTTTCGGTCTTTTCCAAAAAAAAAAAGTAATTTCTTTTTTAATTTTAATGCATTTTTTAAACCAATAAAATTGGAATTTCAATTCCCTAAAAAGAAAAACTATGTAATATATTTATATATTTATTTAAGAATGAAAATCATGCCAAATTATAATATAAATGTACAATACAAATAAAAAAATATAAGGAGAGTGTATATAATTATATGTTTATTATTATTATATAGACATATAATCGTTGACCGGTTTTCCGGCTTTGACCGGGTTGACCCTCCGGGTCCGGGTTGACCCGTGACCTAGTCACATGACCGGGTCGCTCACCGGTCCGGTTTTTTACAACATAGGTTTGAAATAGGATTAAGTATTTGAATTCCCCAAATAAGAGTTGTTTAGTCCTTTAAAAGGATAATTTGATTACAACTTCTCAAAATAGGAGTTATTGAGTCCTATTTTGGGAATAAAACATTGGTAGAACTCTTTATGAATTTTATCCATATTTTAGTCCTATTTAGAGAATTTTTCTCAAAAATAGTGGGGGCCATGCATATATTTACAAAGTAGGATCACTAACTTTAAATAAAATTGAAAAGTCACACCAAAAAGAAAAGGTTTGGGTGGCATAGCTCTTACTCCAATAGTCCAACTCCAAATCATGCAAGAAGGAACAATAGAATCATATAAGAACCGATTGCAAAATTGAATGGAAGATGCTTTGATGAATGATGCATTAGTTTCTTTTATTGAACAAGATGGGCCTGTTTGGTAACAGCTGCATTGGCCGGAATGGCTGAAAAGTTTGAAAAGACTGGATTTGTTAAAGTGAAAGTGTTTGGTAATATATTGGCTGAAATGGCTGATTCAATGTAAAATTACCATAAAGGTATTAACATGTTTGTTTTATAAATGCACGAATGTGGACTGCTAGTAATTTATTTTTGATTTGATTGTTTGATTATCATTCAAATTAACATGATTAACTTGTTTAATTTGATTCGGAGGGGACCCAAATCAAGTGAACCCCATGGAATTTCAAACGGTGTTGGATGGTTTTGATGAAGAAGGGTGGGGTATGAACGTATGATGATGAAGGAGATGTGTATGAGTGTGGAGCTGGTAAAGTTTGGAGAAGAACTTTAAGATGCAATCCGTGCAGAATGAGCTTGAGCCGAAGAGGAAGGTAAAATTGGCTCATGAGCTCGTTTTGCAACGCAAGCAGGTGCCCGTTTGGTTCCAGATGAATCGCTGGGCACAGTGGAAGACAGAGGCAGCTGGAGAAGAAGATGAATAGGGACTTAGGAGCAGCGAAACAAGAAGATGTTCATCATCTGGAAGGGTAAATTTGTCTTTTCGGTGAAATAACCAAAGTAAAGCAGCCAAATCAACCCATTAAATGGGTGTTTGGCAATTTTGTTTTGTATTTTGAGGCTTATAAGCCCAACTTTTGTCCTCCAAACGGGCAAGACATATTTAAAAGTGTTAACCAAAAAATTGCACAACATTTTCAACATTTGAGAATTAGCACTTTAATTTTATGAATGACATTTCTTGCTATTTTGCTTTATAGAGGTATGAGGAATGATCTTGTCAATTCAAACTGACAGGAACCCCCGTCTGACCAAGCCCGTTTGAGGAATGTGCAAGTTGAAATTTTTGATGAAATTTTGTGAACATTTTATTCATGAAGTGCAAAACATATTCACAAACTATCTAAAACTTCGACCCAAAAGTAAGGTAAATGAATTATTGAAAAGCATGGCACTTTATATACATGCATAAAGCATTGTATTTTTCAATAATTTATTTGACTGAATTATTGATTGAATGTTTTGATGAAATTTTGTGTCGATGTTCTACACATGATGTACAATTTGCTTAATAACTTCCATAAAAACATTAGACCCGGAAGGCCCTTAAACAAGCTTGGCCGGACGGCAAATCCCGTTAGTCCACAAGATCATTTCTATAGCTCAATTGACACCACGCACTGACATTAAATCCTGGATCATTTATTTCTTTAGTTGAAATGTTCAGAAAAGGAAAGTGAGAATCTTAAATCCAATTAAAAGTTGAATATTGGCTCAAATACTAAAGTATGTGAATTCTATTACGAATTATAACTACTTGTTTGGAATGATATGATGCAATGCAAAAATATAAGCTTTGATGCCTCAAACCTCGTGATATATAAATTCATCACAATTACCTCTTGTGATATTTAAAATGTGTCAAATTCCTTTGAGTTATAATGAATCATGCACACGATCTCTTGGAAGAACAAATTTAATTGTTGAATAAAAGAAAAGTTATTAGTACTTTTATATAATTTAGATTTTAGACCATCTCACAAATATGTTTTTATTTTTAATCATAACATTAAGATGAATGATCTTGAGAGTTTTACATGCATGATTAGTTATAAGTTATAACATATAAGAGTGTAACACATATTTTATGTCACAAAAGTCTAATGCGCATAATATGTATATCACAAAGAGGTTTGATGCATTAAAATCTCTAAATCATGTAAATAACTTGTGTCATTATTCAAGGGTCGAAGAGACTCAAACTACTAAGAGCAATAACCTTGTTTTTGGGCTTTGCCCAACATTGTCCTCTCATGATTTTACTTGAGTTTATTGTCGCATTAATATATATGAATGCTAGAATTATTTGAAGATATATTTTTGGATCTAAGAAGTTTTATTGAAAAATACTTATAGATCATGATCAACACACATTATGGCAATAAAATAAAATAAAATAAAATAATGAATACTTCGTCTTACATCAAATTCTATGATAAAAAATAGAAATTAGTGGAAAAAATAAAGATTTATAAAGAAGATGAATAATTATTTTAATTTTGTAGGCTAATAAGTGAGATATGATAATATATTTTTAACACTAAGTAAATCTAAAATATTTTGTGAAACTCATATGAGTTCCCGATCAATAAGTTAATCCAAACTTTAAAAATAAAATGGTTGATAAGCTAAAATGAATATGTTATCCTTACAATTTTTTCTCAACAGTCAATCCAGTTGGGTTAAATAGCAATATAGAATTAAATTTCAATTAGAATATATAGTATACTTCATCACTTTTTTTCTTTCAAAAAAGTAGACTTCATCACTACTTGGGGATTTTATCTATATCCGATTCGATGGAAATCGGTACCGAGTTACTTTGGTCGAAATAGAGAAAATTAAATTGCATCGACTTGTAAGATTGTAATTGGATTCAATTTTGATACTTTTACATACAGTTTGATTTGTGTTGCTTAAAGTTCATTTTCTCGACTCGATCATTTTCAGTTCTTGTTTCAACAACCCAACCTTTTTGCACTCTATTAAAAGCTAGTTTTTCATTTCGTGAAAAATATTAAATCAGATATACACAGCGCCCTCATTATAAACCACAAAACGAGATCGAAGACGATAATTATGGGATCATAATATATTTAATTGTGCAAAATAGCAAGAGAATAAAGAGACTAGTGACGGAGACACAAAAGGGTTGCAAGGGCCCTCGATCTCCACCAAGAAGAAAATTGTAATGTAAATGTGTGTTTGTGACACAAATATTTCTGTCGGTTCAGGATGGACCAGAGGGTCGTCCGACCACCTAGTTTTGAGTGGTTCCCGATAGTATTGTTTGCTGAAATTTTGTTAGCAAGTTCCACATGAAGTATAAATGATGTCCACCAAATTTCAATTAAAAAGTTAACCGGGAAGGCAGTCAAATAAATGTTTGGAAATAATTGTGTTTTATATGTATATTTTGGCGCAGTTATCTTTAAACAATTATTTGACTATCTTCCCGATTGATTTTTTAGTTGAAATTTGGTGGAGATAATCTACACTTCACGTGGAACATTCTCACAAAATTTCAGCAAAAATTCCGCCGATAGCCACCTCAAAACAAGGTGGCCGGACGGCGGTTCTGTCTGAACTAGTCGGACAGGAATATAATACTACTCTATGTGTATATACTTTTAATATTTATAAATATTTATGAAATTTTCAAACCCGGCCCGAGCCCCTAATAATAAATTTCTAACTTGGAAGTTGTAGGACACATATTTGCATTTAAAAACCAATCTATTAACATGCATGCAAAATCAAATGACGAATTACTAAATCGACAAATAGAAAAGAACATTAGCATCTGCAACATGGGAAACAATGTGGCTTCATCTTCAGATCCTCCTCCGCAAGGCAGTTGTTCTGCTTC